ATATCGATCTCTCATCATATTCCCGTCAATTTCTCGTTCAAATTCCGTTTACATCGTCAACTAGCCTCCTCCGATGCCAACCAAAACGATGAGAAGAAGATTCAAGGTTTAAGAGAACAATATTTAAGCAAATGAATTCAAAATTTTAATTAAATAATCATTGTTGTGATGATGTCACGTTTTGTCTTTAATATTGGCTTTAAAGTATCCATTGTCCACCCCGACAGGAGTTTGTTCAACCCGACATGAGTTTGTTCAAGTGATAAGAATCTTGATATAGTTTAAGCAATGTCTCAAGTTTGAGTCTTTATGTATGTAGAAAATTCATGTCGGGAGACTCACCCAAAAAAACCAGGTGTGTGACGAATCGGGAGAGTAGCAAAAAAAAAAAAAGAGTATATGTCATAACAAAATTAGTGAAATAATATTGATGCCAAATTTAATTTGAAATATATTTTTGATGGAAAATTAAGAATAAAAGGCATTTACTAGAATGAATTAAGAATTCGAGAGTATGACAAATTTTATAAAGTATACTTCTCGTCATATAAAAACTGTCTTTTATTGACTTTTAAAAGAAAAGAATAAAAAATTTAAACTTTAACTTAATTATTTTAAATATTTCAAATAATTATATTTTATAAAATATATAGTTAAAAATACTTGATTAAAGATTTTTAAATATTTTTTTATATTTCTATCAATAATAAATTTTAAACAATAATGAGTCAAATTAAAAAATATTAAAAATAAAAAAATGAACATATTTAATAGGACATAGTGAGTATTTTTATTAGAACTTGTCACTAGAAAATGACAAGTTTAATAAAGTTTTATATTTTATGAAATTCATATATAGAATTTGTCATCTCTCATGAAGAGTTCCAATAAAAATTTTATATTTTATAAAATTCATCAGGTTCTTGTGACGAATTCCAAATTATTGTAACAAATATCATAGATGCCTAAATAATTTTTTACCGGTGACATTTTCGTAATTCTTTGTTTTGCCCGTAATATTCTTCTAATTTTCCCCTCAATTAACGTACTTTTTTTTTTGTGCTTCATCTTTTATTTTTATGGAGCTGGTTCACCCTCAATTAACGCCTCCTCACAAAGGTAAAATTGGCGCAATATGACAAAATGAAAATATAATTAAGCCCAACAGGGCACGTAGAAGTTTATTTTAGGATTTATGACATTTTTTATAGTGTTTTTGGATCTTATCACGTTGAGGTGATGAGTTTTATTGGAAAATATATTTTATTCGACTGATTTTTTTGGTTTAGTATTTTATTATTTTTCTTGGAACTCATCCTGTCAAGGTGACGAGTTTCATTAAAAAATATTTTTTTGAAGTTGAAGTGTTTTTTTCAAATATAAAAATAATAATAAATGGAACTCGTCATGATGAGGAGACGAATTCCAACGATCATATTGATAGGTTTTATTAAATATAAAGTATTAAATGGTGTGTAGAGGCGGGGCTAGGCATGATCAACATGCGCGACGGAACAGGGCCCCGGAATAGCTAGGACCCAAAAAATTAGATTTATTACTATTGTTACAATAAAAAAACAAATAAAATATTATGGACCAGTAGTAAAATTTTTAGGCCAAAAACCACAGAATCTCCGGTCGAATATTGTAAAGGTTTTCTAGTTAATAAAGTCATCTTTAAAAAAAATGAGATTTAAAGACCTCTTTTTAAGAATTTGCACAAGGTCTCCAATGTCCTAGCCACGGCCCTGATGGTGTGATTGAGCACTGAAGTAAAGTGATATCTCACTGAAAAGTTGAGGAGATTGTAATAGATTTTGTTTGTAAAAATATCGAATCATAAACATTATATTAAGCCCTAAACCATAAAACATTACATTAAAGAGATAAAAACAAACCATAACATTACATTAAGAAGATAAAAACATTACATATTAATGCTTTAATCCTCGTAATCAGTAGACTCGTCATAAGTAATATTCAATTCTTCAAATCTCTATGTTTTTTCTTATTGTCGTTCACGTACAAATTACAACCATGCTTTCGGGTCCCCATCATCTATCTCTATTTCTTCATGATTTTTCTTAGTTGATAGGATATTCGAGCTGGAAGTAGCATCCTCAACCACACGAGCAAGGTAGACATCAGCGAACTCTACAAACAAATGGACATTAGATATAGAATGATAGTAGTATGTCTCAATCATACCAACAAGGTCGACATCATCGCTTAGATGAAACCTCATGTATGATAATGGCAATTTATATATAATGAAGATATTCTTCTATTGCTTCGAGTTGAAGACATGCTTAAAGATTTGCAATCATAAAAAACATTTGCAAGGATAGTAGCCATGTTAGCAAAAAAAAAAAAAAAAAACTCAAGCTTTGGAAGTGAAAGATTCAAAATCTTTTAGATGATTTTTGTTTCAATTGAGTAAAATAACTTTCACTTCACATATATTTATAGACCCTCAGGAAGTGCTCCCTGTAGGATGAGCTAATATAACAAAAAATAGGTTTATGAAAAACTATATAACATCAAATAAAAGCATATAAAAATATGTTTACATCAGTCCTTGTCTGATATAATACTGAAATGAAGTGATACATCACTGAAAAGTTTCTAAAGTGAAGTGATTGGGCACTGAAAAGTTTTTGTGATTGTGTATTAAATGGTGCATGAGAAAAGGTTTTTTTTTTATAATAAAGTGATATATCACTGAAAAGTTTATGAAATGAAGTTATATATCACTAAAAAGTTTATGAAGTGAAGTAATTAGGAACTAAAAGGTTTATGTCATTATGTATTAAATGGTTTATGAGAAAAAGACGTTTTTCTGAAATGAAGTGATATATCATTAAAAAGTTTATGAAATGAAGTTATATATCACTGAAATTTTTTTGAAATGAAGTAATTAGACACTGAAATGTTTTTCTGAAATGAAGTAATATATCACTGAAAAGTTTCTTTTCATAAACTTTTTAATGATATATCACTTCATTAAACCACCAGAAACTTTTCTCAAACAATGGTTAACAATTTTTTCACAGTTGTCCATTCAAATGGCCAAATTATACAAACTGGTGATAGTGTTGTGTTTACATCTCAAAGGCATGTAAACATGATGTTTCATGTTGATGTATCTCATTGCCATCTGAAATAGAAAATTGAAAATAAAACTTGGAGTTTTTGTTTTATGTTTGAGTTATCAACACATAATTTTAGAGACTCCAGTCACATATGGAGCGATCAAGCTTAAAGATGATGACAATATTGTTGTGATGGTTAGACTATATCAATCTTCAAATAATCAAATGATCAAGATATACACTGAAATAAAAAAATGTTGTAGATCTTCCTACTTCATCAATAGTTGCGTTCCTTACTGAATAAGTAGGACCATCAACAAATGATAACCTTGTTGGCAAGGATGATGAAATTTTTGTTCAAATGATAGTAAACGATGACACACCAATAATTGATGATTTCGATATCGCTGAGGATGCTTCAAATGGATAAGGTTTCAATTCACTTAAGACAAACATGTTATTGATTGATGACAATGAGTTGTCATTGACATATAGATGTTAGAATTGATACATGATTATATTGTTAGAGAACAATGTACTGGATTTGACATACTGTAAGCATGTCTTGGATTATTATATGACAGTCACAACATTGCTCATGGTGATGACTATATATATGATCCTCAGACTTGAGATCATTACTATCTCAACATATATTGTTGTATGTTTTGATACAGTTAAACATGCTTCGTAACTGATTGCACTATAACAAGTTTTTTCCAGTAATCGATCAAATAAAATATAATTTCCAGTAAGATTCATCACGTCGTGGTGACAAGTTTTTTCAACACTGTAACAAATGTCGTAAATTCCAAAATAAACTTCAATATACCCTATTGGGCTAATTAATAAAAATTGTTTACCCTATTGGGAAAAAAAAACCTCACAAAAGGTAAAATCTTTGGCCCATTTCGGTGATCATCATTTTAGTGCTTCTTGCACAGCTGTTCAAAGCCCAATACCAGAAACTGAAGCCTGTTATGCATTGAGGTGACTATGTATATATAATTTGATTTTCTTTTGATAATTATATAAATCGATTATTACAATTGATGATAAGCCAATTTACTTTTTTCCCCTTTAACATTGTGCCAATTCAAATCATAAAATTAAAGTAATAAAGTGGTGTGAATTGAATGGGAAGTGGGTGTATTTTCCCCAGATTTTTATTACTGTCTTCTGCTGGTTTTATTATAATGAATGGGAGTAAAGAATTAGACTATCTTAATACTGTAAGATCCCACAAGATGGCAGATTTGCAGTACAACTCCGAAGCTGGCAGCTATCGAATTTGGACCATTTACTTGATCTCTTGCATTAATGAACATCACTGGACTATTATCTACTACAATTAGTAGCAATTAAATAAAAGCAAATTGGACCACCCACATTTCTCTGCTCTATCTATCTATATTATCCTTTTCAATTTTCACTGCTTGCTCGCCTCCTGCCACGTGAAACCACGAGACCTGTCCAGTTGCTATACTTTCTTTCTTTTTTTCCAAGTCGGGCAGAATGAAAGAAAGGCAAGTGGTGATCAAAAGCTTTCAGCTTTAAGCAATGATTATTGATGAATACTTTAAAAGAAAAACAACCCTTTGGCCGCTTTGATTTTCGTGCAAATTCAACGTGGTTCCCTTTATTTTATTCATTTATCTTTTTTACTATTTTCTAATTATCTAATCTGGGTTTCAACGTATTCTCGATAACCAACAACCACACCACGTCCACTACACCCTGTTCCTCACGTTCTCCTCAAATTAATTAACCAAAACACCCGGTTTTAATGTTTAATATTAGATTTACTTACATGCAATGTTTGAATGAATCTGAATCTGTTGCCTGTTTCCCTGTTGGTTAAAAGAAGTGACCGCTGTCATTCTATGCAAAGTTTTCCTTCTTTCTGCTCTTAATGCACCCTGGTAGTTGATGGGGAAGAAAGGAGGGACATCGTGGTTGACCGCTGTGAAAAGGGCATTTAGATCTCCTACTAAAGAGAGTCATGAAAAGAAATGTAACAGAAGAAAGGATGAATCCGACCACCACCCTGAAGAAGATGAAGAAAAGGTTTCTACTTTGTAATTACTATTTTATACTATGAATGAAACACAAGTAGATGCAGTTGTTTGTTCCTTTCTCAATGCCTCTAAATTAGATAAAAATTCTCCATCTGTTTACTTGTTATTTGATAGAAGAGAAAGAAGCGACGGTGGATCTTTAGGAAACCCACGATTCAAGAACCGGTGATTCATCAGCAAACAACACTTGTTAAGGCAAGTGGTCATAATGATACGGCCAGGGCAGCAGGGGAGGCTGCGGATGTGGCTACGGATGAGGCGCCGCTTCCGGTGGCTCGGCTGACTAGACCTTCCAATTATCCTAGAGAGCACCACTACGCTGTCATTGTTATTCAGACGGCTTTTAGAGGCTACCTGGTATGAAAATTTTGTGCATAGCTAGCATCTAGTAGGAATTTATAAGTTTTTTTTTTTGGCCCTCGTGAGAAAAAAAAATGGAATCTGTGAATGTGAAGGCGAGGAGAGCTCTTCGTGCACTAAAGGGATTAGTGAAGTTGCAAGCTTTGGTAAGAGGTCACAATGTGAGAAAGCAAGCCAAGATGACACTCAGGTGCATGCAAGCTCTTGTTAGAGTGCAGGCTCGGGTTCTTGATCAAAGAATGAGGCTCTCGCATGATGGAAGCCGAAAATCCGCATTCAGCGACACGAATAGCGTACTTGATTCTCGGTATCTTCAGGACATTTCAGACAGAAGATCACTAGTTGTAAGTAGTTTAACTGTTTTGTATTTTCTACTTTAAGGATTCAGATGCTAATAGTATTAACTTAGGCATTTGTATAATATTCAGTCAAGAGAAGGAAGTAGTATTGCAGATGATTGGGATGAAAGGCCACACACAATAGAGGAAGTCAAAGCTATGCTAGAACAAAGGAAAGAAGCTGCTTTGAAGCGTGAAAAGAACTTATCTCGGGCTTTGTCTCAACAGGTTCATGCTTTTGCTCTTAGCCCTTATCTTGAATGCCTCCTTTGCTTTATTCTTTTGATTCCCATAAAATTAACTAGTCCCATCTTTTGCATATAGATGAGAAGAGCTCGTAGGAGCCCGTCGATAGGTGATGAGTATGAGCTCGAAAGTTGGGCTCCTACTAGCACGTGGGATAGAAGAGGAAGAGCTTCAACAGATCAAAGGATGTCTTCCAAAACTGTAGAAATAGATAAACCCCAGCCTTACTCATATTTAGCACCTAATTATAGAACTAATTCTAACCAATATCACCAGAATGAAACCCAACACCATAACCAAAGGCCTAGTTCACCTCTACATAGAGCTCAACACAATGCATCCATCCACCATTCTCCTATTACCCCCTCTCCGTCCAGAAACCAGCCTGTTCAAGTTCAATCTGCTAGCCCTCGTTGTGTTAGAGGAGATAGGAGCTCAGTTTCATCTCAAACACCAAGCTTAAGGTCCAATTACCATTACACAGGCAGGGTTGATACTCATGCTTGTAGTAATGGCAACAATTGTGTTAGAGGAGATAGGAGCTCAGTTTCATCTCAAACACCAAGCTTAAGGTCCAATTACCATTACACAGGCAGGGTTGATACTCATGCTTGTAGTAGTGGCAACAATGCTGCAACTTTGCCGAATTATATGGCTGCAACAGAGTCTGCGAAGGCCAGAATAAGGTCTCAAAGTGCACCAAGGCAAAGGCCATCTATATTGGAGAGGGACAGAAACGGGTCAGCAAGGAAACAGCTATCGTATCCGGTCCTGGAATCTTATGGTGGTCGGACGGGATGTGGAGGTCATGGTCCCAATTTGAGGAGTCCAAGTTTTAGGAGTGTAACAGGGTCACATCTTGGATTGGAACAACAGTCTAACTGTTCTTCTTGCTATACCGAAAGCCATGGCGGTGAAATCTCCCCATCTTAAACTAATGATCTTAGAAGGTGGTTGAGGTAATCCTCGTCCTCGGTTAAACTTTAGAATCAGCTTGACCAACAATGTATAGCTTCTTTGCCTTGTTTGCTTTCATCGTATTCATAGAGGTTTCGGTTACCAAAGTTTGTGTGTTCGTTGTTCATTTAAACTTTTTGTTCTTGTTCTTCACTTTTGTTCCCCTCTATATCTCTTTAGCTTTTATATATGGAAATGTTGAACTATCATAACTCTGGAACCTCATTTTGATCCAACATCAACCAAATATATCTAAAATTATATGAGATGTACTTTACAGCAATTCTAGATAGACCCACAACAGTAAAATCTAGCTTTCGAAGTCTCTATTATTTGTCATCTCCAAAGCTGGTGCTAATGCATTTGATGGGCAAGATACCCTCTCCCCCACCAACAAAAAGGGCCTGACCGCAATAGACTGGGGTTGGGAAAGAGCATGTGCTATGGTTTATATCATTGCATGTAGCCAGATTTATGTGAAAGATTCAGAAAGTCCTGCCAGTCAATGCTTTTGAGCACGTTAATCGGAGTCACATGATGGGAGGCAGAAATGAATGTCATAAGCCTCTCCTACGTTACATAACTATATATATATATACAAACACACATCCGAGTATCAACTGTTCCCATCGTAACGAAGCTGTATCCTAAAAGAAGCAATTTTGTCAAGGGAATAGAATAAAGGGCGAATAACCACTGTTTTATTATTTACATGTTCTGTTCTATCACTTGTGCATGCGGGATAAAGCGTTAAGGAGCCGGTACCAAACCCAAGCTGTAAAGTCAAAGAAAGGAGGGGGTGGGCACCGCCTGTGGAAATTAAAGAGGGCTGAAGTTTCAACAAAGTTTGGCACCGATAATGCTTGGTTCAAAGTTTGGTATAATTTTGTTGAAAATTAAAATGGTTAAATCACACATTTAGTCATTGCACTTTAGGGTATTTTCAAAGATTAGTCCCTAAGTTTCAACTATAAATACCCTAGCTCATTTAGCTTCTAAATCATCCCAAAACATTTCTTTCTTCCTATACTAGAAAGCTTTCTTGTGAGTAGTGAGTGTTTTGTAAACACCTGTAAATTTTCTCTCTTAGTAAAAGATCTGCAGCAGCCCGGAGACGTAAGCACAATTGGCTGAACTCCGTTATCAATTTTCGGGTATTATTTTTCCGCTTTTATTTCGCATTCTCACTAATCTGGTTATAGGGAAATTACTTGTACTCGGTTTATTTTCCTAACACAAGCCTACCTTCGCCTATAAATATCCCTATGACAAAAAAGAATTCTATTTGTTTTTATATATTATGTTATCTTTGAGAAAACCAACCAAGAACTAGGGATGTAAAAAACTGACTGAAACCGACTTAAGTTAAAATTATTTGTTACTTGAAGTACTGATGATTCGAAATCGATTCAAATCCAAATTAGTAATGACAGAACTAGGGGTATACAAAATCGTATATTTGATCTGAAATTTCGGATTACCAAAATAGTGATCCAAATATGATCCAAAATAATTGAATATTTGAATTTTCGGATATCCAAAATTTCAAATCGAGTGTCCGATCCAAATGTCACTTTTTTTAGTGTTTAAACTATTTTTTTGTTGTTGTTTGCCTGCGTCAATCCCTTAAGTAGAAAACATAAGTTGATACACCCTTAGATTCTTAATTTAGGAGCTAAACTCTATTTTGGAAAGACTGTGAGTAAAGGACATTCTTCAATTTCTAAGTCTTCAAGAAGACATCTACTGCAGACATCTCCCTTAAGTATCTACTGCACTCAAATAATATGTTTTATATGTAATAGTTCAAGAGACATTAGAAAATACATCCTATTATGCATTTAATTTTTTTTTCATTTCTAACTATTGATAAAAGGGAGAACTTTCATTAATCTTTACGGACTCAGTAGAAACATAATTTCCACATTCAGTAACCTACTATCATAATATTAATAAACATTAATAAAATCAACACGATAACATATATTAATTGTTATAAATAAACATTACACATAAACATTAATAATTATCCAAAGTACTAACAACACAATAAAACCAACAACATAATAAAAAATCTTAACAAGAGGTTCAAAATAAACATATCACAAGTGTACAAAAGGTTCAAAATAAACATTCTAAATCTAAAGGAGTAACACAATAAAACAAATAATAAGGCCACCAAGTAAGTACTTTAAAGTTTCAAGTTCCAAACTTTAGAAATAATCTAAAATATTAATTGTTTCATCAATTATGATGTTCGGTTGCTCAAAAGTTAAAATTTTCATGCTTATAACACATGAAATAAAATAAAGTTAAAACATGCATTTATGTTTGAATATTAAATAAACAACAAATAAAGTAATGAAAACTAAACTAGTCTTCCTCCAATTTTTCCAAGACAAGCAAATTTTCCTCTATTATAAGAGGTGATCAAGAGGTGTGTAACCAATCTTGAAAGTAAACAAGTGTTTCGATTATTTTCGGATTCAATGAAGTACGAAAAGAATTAAGAACACGACCCCATATTAAAAGCCGACTTGAAAGCTACAGTCGAAATGGGTATGATAAGCACATCTTATAAAGAATGTGATATCTTATTGGTTGATCTTTCCACCATTGCAAGATTTCAAAACTTGAAACATTAAGTTCACAAGCATCTAAATACTTATGCAATTCACTTTTGTTGGCATTAGTTAATGAGCAATATGTATTCCTTTTATACTTTAAAGTCAAGAATTGTTGAAGATCAACTTTATGTCCACTTTGAGAGAAAGTAGAGAAAGATGTAGAAGTGAAAGAAGAAGTACCACTTATCTTTGAACAAGGTACTGAGGAAGCATATGTATCAAATATTGAGGCACAAAACCATCGATCTTAATATTGAGGCACAAAACCATCTTAATATTGAGGCACAAAAGATTGATTTCTGTTTTATCATAAGAGCCTCGTACAATCCAATCAATATAATTCAACTTGTGTCTAGGGTCAAGGATCACAACCACAAACACCAAAACATTGAAATCATCAATGTTCTCATAATATTTTTCATACTTGACATCATTAGGCTGTCATTTTCCTAACCCCTTCATCCTCATCATTTATATTGTTTGGAATCAAGAATCTAGTCCCCATAAATCTCATGTGCGTATGAGTTACAAATCACATAACGGGAGCCAGATAATCTCAATGTTACATCATGAAAAACACTAAAAAATGTAAAAAAAACGGCTCACTCTCTTTCAATAATCTTCATTGAGACCATCACCAAATTTTCTAAATTCTTCGAAACAATAAGAATCATTCATGTACAAACTAGCATACGTCTTTTTTAAACTTGATAGCATATTCAAGCATTAAAAATGTCGAATTTCATCTTGTCTCAACATCCAAAGTAACAAGACTTTTACTTTGGTCTTTCTTCTCTTCTATACAAGTTTTAACTTTTGAAATCTTGTGAGAAGACTTAATAATTATTTATTTAACATGATTAATTAAATTTATTAAATAATTATGTATTTATGTGTTGAACATGATTTTATTAGATTATATAAAATTAATTTAAATATTTATAGGTTTAATTTATTTTTATGCAATAATTGATTGATAATTTAAATATAATTTAAATTACAATTTTAAAAATATATATATAAAAGATGAATTTACTTGAAATTGAAATTTTGAATAACATAACAATACATGTTCATTAAATATAGTAAATTCAATATAAATATAGTAGTGCACATTATAAGTAGACAAAATAAGTAATATATGTCTATTAAATAAAACCCAATACCCAATATATATATATATATATATATATATATATATTCTTTTTCAATAATAAAACTCGTTTTTTATATATTAAAATTTGTGTACACAAATTCTTAACATAGGGATTAAACAACCACCTACAATGAATGATCAACTAGTGCTCGAACCCATGACCTCTAGGAACAATAACAATTTCTTCAACCACTAAGGTAAGCTGATTCGTGCATATATATATATATAAGTATAAATTTATATAAATAAATATGCATAAGTATATATATATTATGCACAATGGATGCATAAGTGTAATGTACTCATATATACTATGTATTATAACATTCATCACACACATATTATAAATAATATATATTTAATTATTTTAATTTGATTCGTACATGTTGTTTTATTATTTAAATTATTTTATAATTTCATGTTTAATCAATTTAGTCTCTAAAATTATATTATGATATTTAAAACTTATAAACTTTTGTTTCTCAAATTTGAAATGAATGCAATTCAGTCCATATAAATATTATAATTTCAACTTCACATTTTACAATTATTTCGATTTGATCCCTATATGTTATTTAATTTATTTAAATCTTAACTTGTAATTTCATATTTGTTCAATTTGGTCCTTAAAATTATATTTGTATATTAAATTGACCCATACTTATTTATATTTTTATAATTTACTTCAAACACAATAAATCACATAATAAACTTCATTTCAAACTCTATAAATTATATCATAATCTAAAAACCCTATAAACTTTGTTCACCAAAATTTTAAATGTATTCAATTTAGTCCATTTTATATTAATTTCAACTTAATATTTTATAATTATTTCGATTTGATCCCTCATCCATGCATGTTATTTATTTTTATTTAAATCTCAAATTATAATTTTATGCTTGTTCAATTTAGTCCTTAAAAATGTTTTTTTATTAAAATTGACCCATAATTATTTATATTTTTTTGTAATTCACTCCAAACCATATACAATTACAAATTAGAACTTGTCATTCATGAGAGGCAAAAAATAATTAACCCAAAAATGACCCAACCTGAAGTCAATCTGTACCTGTAAGATCCGACTTGAATTTTGTATGTCAAAGATGTTGCCCGATTTGAACGAGATACGAGCCGAAATCCATCTAAACTTGAATTAACCTGGTATTTAACTGATTCACACCTGAACTGTTTTGGCCTTAACTGATATCGATTCGAACCCTAACTAAATTTAATGTCAAAACAACTTGAAAATGACATGAATTTATTTGATTAAGACC